GGTATATATAATTACATATTATATAATTATAACACATGTATTATATAACTATGCATAAATATAATTGCATTTTAGCTATTATATGTGTGGCATACTATATATTGTGTATACATATATAAAGTAAAAATATGTGCTCCTATGCTATATAGAGTATGTGTTATATGTTAATACATAATTATATGCATACCATTATATTGAAATTCAGTACTGTATACCAAAAGCACAATTTACCTTTTTCAGTAACTTAGCTATAGCCCATCAAGTAAAGGTAATACCCAGTTAAGGAAAGCCTAGGATACTAGGCTTACTGGGTCTGAGATGATTGCTAAAACCCAGGACCTAGTTTATTCATCTCTATATTCCCAGCACAAACAACAGTACCCAAAACACAGAAACTGCTTAATCAAAAATTGTTGAACATTCGTTGAATTAGTTCTCCATTCTTTCAAAAATCTCATTTCAAGATTGTGCTGAACAAGAAGCTTCCCTCCTGTGTTAATATACAATTTGGTTTGCATAGGCTCTGTTTACTGCAAGTTTTCAAGAGCACAGCCTTAATGTACAAAAGCAAAGTCGGGAAATCTTTTATAATCTTTCAAAGATAATTCATTCATTTAGCAAACACTTGGCTTGGAGCAGGAATACTAAGATAAAAGACAAAGTCATTGTCCTCCAGAAGTTCTTTGCCTAGAGAGGGAGATTTATTTATTTAAACTATATAGCACATCTCCAGAATGCAAACCCAATGCAATATGTGAGGATCTATGACAGAGTATATAGTCTCCTAAACAATAGGGCACTCGGGCAAGAAAAATAGTCAAAGGAATTTAGCCTGAGGTTATTAAGAAAAAAAGAAAGAAATTTATTACAATGACAATTACAAATAATTTAATGTAATTCAAACCTCTAATGTACTCATTCAGGAAGGAGTACATTGGATATATTGGAGAAAAATGTTCTGTGGAGAGGTGAGGGAGGAGGAAAATAATGGGGACCACCTGGTTAGAAAATATCTCCTGCGCAAGAAATAAAATTGTTGTGTGTGTTTTAGTCCATTTTGTGTTGCTTAGTAGCAACTGACACTGGATAACAAACTATAAAGAGACACTGGGCTCACAATTTCGGGGCTTAAAAGTCCAAGCAACATGGCGCTACCACCTGGCTGTGTCACAACATGGCAGAGAAGTGGAAAAGGAACCACGTTCCAGCACCAACACTAAGGAGGGGCCAGCCTCAGTGTTCTATAACAGCCCACTGACAAGTAAACTAATCCACTCCTGTGAGACCTAACCCACGCTTTGAGACCAGCATTAATACCATCACAGGCTATCCTGATCCAACCACTTCCCATAAGGCCCTTGAGGTTCCTACCATCTTGCAACATCACCACCACACAAACCTCTTGGTAGACACATTCAAGTCATATCCAAACTACAATAGTGAGTATGTAATTTCTCATTACCTCTTGTTCTCCATGTCACTGAAGTGCTAGTGAGGTCTTTAGCCACTGGTCATGGCTCTTTAGCTGTTCTTGATCATATGTATAGACTTGTAGCAAGTCTACTCCAAATGAAATAGTCCTAACATCTGGTAAATGAGCATTGGCTGTAATAGTGGACACATTAATATCACCCCATGATAGGATGATAAACCTAATACTTATATTTCCCTTTATTCATATAAGCATGGAATCTCTCACACAGAAGAAACTTTAACTATCTTCTCTAATCCCCAATCAAATTCCTTCTAATGCCCAACAGTCACCAGCACTCTTCCTCCTTTATCCTCTCTGGTTCTTTTGTCAATTCAAGGTCTTCATCTGGCAGGCAAAAAATCTGAGGAAAGGTGTGATACAGTGAAATGGGGATAAAAGTACCCAAATACTGTTAGTGCAGCAGACCAAATACATGTGCATATGTGTTTCTTGCATATTGTATATTGTATATTAGAAAAATCCCCAAGACAAAAGCCTAAGTCATAGGCTTGGATCATATCAAGCTAGGCTTGGATATCATTTGTTAGAATTGGACTATTGCCAACAAAAAAAATGTATTAGAAAAATACCACAGAAAATATCCAACTCCTTTACAATCTAACAGATGCCATTCATGGAACTGGACTTTTTCCCCATGTACCTATCCATCCATTCATCTACCTATCGTTTATTGAACATTAAATGCATACCAATTCACCACTAGATGCTGGAGATACAAAGACAGATGAATGAGAGACCGTCCAGAAAACCAAAGTCAGGTTGAGGAATCAGAAAATGGCCAGGAACAAAAAGCAATAACAGAACAATGTATCAATTCATTTAACTGAGAAATGAAAAATATCTTGTGAGGTCAGGAAAACTTCAGTGATGATTTTTAGAAAAAGACTTCTCAGAGGGGGTGGAGATTTTTAAAATCAAATACTAGACTCCATTTGAGCTGATATAGTCAGACGCTTCTATCCTGCTTTTCACACTCACCTGTGTATGTGTGTATGTTGAGGAGAAAACTCCAGAAGGACGTTATTACTATTCTTCCAAAGAAATGTGCAAGCTCAAATATAGTCTTGAGAGCAGCTCCCAAACCATTTCAAAGGCCGAAGCTCTTGCTGCACTCGTGGCCTTTCCAGTGGGAATCTGAATTTTAACAAGATCCCCAGGTGACTGGCATGTGCTTACATTTGAGAAGCCCTGACTTGGAAGATGAAAGCTTTATATCTGAATACAACCCTTCTGCAGAGCTCCTACACTTGATGACAAAGCCCCATTTTTATGCCCTGGAAGGGCTTCACAAGCCATTTCATCTGCCCCCTCATTTTATGATGAAGAAGCCCAGGCCCAGAGAGGTCCCTACAGTGACCTGGGAGGCAGAACATGCAGAGTGTACGAGCCTGCCATCAGCGGAGCAGGCTCTACATACAGGCAAAGCTGTTTCTTAACCAGACCAAAAGGCCAGCTTCATAAGTGTGCCAAAAGCATTGGAGAGAATGTGTGGAAAGTGGCTGGTGAATGGTAAACACCCAAACAGTGACAACAGAAATAACTACAGATAAATAACTGTGATGAAGTGAAATAAGATCTCTGAATTGCTCAGTGATGTGTTTTTCCACCCCATGTCCCTGCACTCCTGGGTGTCCCCTACCAAACTCAATGCCCTTTTCTGTCTTTGAAGTTGAGACTATAAAGTATGCACTCCCTTATAAAATAATTAAATTAAAGATGTTTCTTTATTGTTCTAATAATTTCTACTTCCTTTGGGAAAAGAATCCAGAAAACAGAACTCTCAATACCTGAAGTCAGGTAGCAGAAATGTCTTCCAGCATTAGGCTGTGGGATTACCATGAGTGGTGACCAAACCTATTGTTACTGGTGGGCCTGGAAATGGTTCCTGGCCTCATTTAGATTTAAACTCTTTTTTTTTTCCAGTCTTTTCCTCTCTGCCTTATTCTCCGCACATGCAACTATTACTCTGAAATCCTTTAAATTGTTCAAATAAATGCCTTCTTCCCTGCAACTGTAGAATAAAAAGTGTTTTGTTTTGTTTTGTTTTGTTCCTCACACAATGTCTCCTCTCAGAACTTGTGAGAAATGGCCATGCCACCACTCAGGTTCACAAGCCCCACAGGTCTTCAGCCCTCACTCACAGAGCTTCCGCTTACAGTCCCACTGCCCTCTCTCCCTTCTCTGCTCTCCAGGTCTTTTCCAGAGCCTTTCTAGACCCTCAGTCCAAGCCCTGGTCAGCAGACAGGTTCTGTCTCCTCTGTTTAAATGAGGGCTTCCTGTGAGACTTTCTGAGATGTCCTTAGCCATAGCACCAAAAGCGCATGAGGCCTTCTCAGAAGGTCTCAGGATAGCACAGTTCATCGCAGGACCACTTTATAAACATTAACTGATTGAGCTGTTCTCTCTCCTGGAAAGCTCTGGATTCTGCATAGTGGACATCATTCTCCATTGCCTTCAAATTACTCCAGGAAGAGTAAAACTGAGACTTCAAGAGTTTTTTTTGGAGGGGGTATTTTAGGCCAAGATATCATTAATGCCAAAGATCTTGCAATAACAACCTCTGCTTGGGTGATGACATGAAAGCAGAGGGGATTTAAATTCGTGCTTATTTTAAGAGATGAAATCCAGGTTGTTGTTCCCCAAAAGCAGATTAATAGAGAGAGAGCTTAGTCCCATGGTACAGGGCAGGGTCACTGAAGTACAGCCCACCATACAAGTGCAGCTCACCACCTCCCTTTGTAAAAGAACTTTCTTTTTTTTTTTTTTTTTTTTTTTT